TACCTAGCAGTACTAAAGTTGTGTGGCACCCCATGGCACCCTTGAAAGGATCTCTAGGCCCCCCAGCATGCTGCAGCATATTGGTTAAGAATCACTGGGCTACAATATAATACTTTGTAAGAGAGACTGGGTTGAGAGTATAAGTAGGTAAATAAAAGTAATTTGGGAAGAGAGAGGCTTGTGTCTGCATAAGTAAAATTCAAACCCCAGTGTTCTCATGAGAACAATTATATTTTCAGTAATTTCATGTCATTTGTCTGAAAATATTCCCTGCTGGAGCCAAGTAGTAAAGTCAGAATTTCATGCTGTTTGTTTAATTAGTGTAATTGCATTTATTTTATTAGTCTAATGCAGGGGTTGGCAGCCTACAGGTTATGGGCCCGACCAAGCTTACAGAACCATTTTTCCAGACCATGGAGCTAGGGCACTTCTGCAGTGTTTCAGCAGCAGGGGGCTTAATCCATGTGGCAAAGGAAGAAAAATGATTCAAGGCCTGGGAAACATGATTTATGAGGGTAGGCTGGAAAAACAGGATAGTTTAGTCTGAGGGAGGGGGAGGGGGATTTGACAGCAGTTTTTAAATACCTGAAGGGTGGTTATAAAGAGAATGGAGATAAATTATTCTCTGTGCCACGGGGGACAAGACAAGGAGCAATGGCTTCAAGTTGCAGGAAGGGAAATTTAGGTTGGATATTAGGAAAAACTTTCTTGCACTGAGAGTGGCTAAGCCTTGAAACAAGGTATCCAGAGAGGTAATGGAATCTCCATCTTTGGACACTTTTAAGAGCAGGTTAGACATACATTTGGCTGGAGTGCTTTAGTCATGGATGATCCTGCCTCGAGCAGGGGTTAAACTAGATGATCCCTAGACATTCCTTCCAACCTGCTAGTCTACAGTTCTTTGATTTTTTGGGTACATTTTGATACAAAACATACCTTGCTTATTGTTTCCAGTATACATTGGTGTAATAAATATGTAAAAATGGTACTTCCTGTCATTTACAATGGCTTAATTGGGAGGTCCGACTGGAGATCCCTAGGAGTCTTTCTGGGGTCTTCATTATTGACTTAGAGGATGGGACTGAGTGCCCTCTTTATAAATTTGCACATGACACCAAGCTGGGTGAGGTTGTAAACACTTTGAAGGATATGGTTAGGATTCAGAATCACCTTGATTAAACTGGAGGAATGGTCCAGAATTAATCAGACAAAATTAAGTAAGGATGAGTGCAGAGTCCCTCAGGTCTGTTCCTGAGGGCCCTTCCAGCCATTTTTTTTCCATGCTTCTATAAACCTGTCCAGTTCAGCATGGGGAGTCTTACACCAGCTGAGAAAAGGTACAAAACATGACTATAGTAGGTGCAGGGCAAAAGTACACTGGGTCCATTGCTGATAAGTCTACAGTTTGTAGAATTGCTTTTTTGTCTGGCCTACTGCCTTTCATAGTTTCATAGTTTCTAGGGTCGGAAGGGA